TTGATCACATGGAGAAAAGGCATCGGATGTATCCACGAATAAGGAAATTTCTTATAGGAAGACATTATCGGATAAAAATTCTCGTTTGAACTATTTTTCAGTGTCTGCGGTGTCCTTACCCCAGGTTTCAACAACTTTATGCTCCGTGAAATAGATCACTCCCCTGGTTGTTCATTCTGTTTCCACATGTATGAATCTGTGACACTTGTAATACTTTCTGACTGTGATAGGCTTACGGATTGGTTTCGTTAAATAGTAGCATGAGGGGTCGCTTGGTGAGACGGACTCTCCTCTTCGGAAGCTAGAGTCTGCAACTTTTGGTGGTAGTAAGTTGTATGAACTGACGTTGAGTTTCTTGCTTCATCTTCATATTTTCTCATTTTTCCCTTCAACCTTCCAGATCACGGTCAAGGGTAACTTCCAAGAGGATTTTCTCTTCAATATCCATAAGCCTTTGTTGGAGGCGACGGAGTTTTCGTCGTATCTCTTCTTGGGTAGGCTCATGCATATTCCTTATTAGCGGCATAATTGACGGTTTTGGGATCTGTTGAAGGAAAGAAAGAAGAGAAAAAAATACACGAAAGAAAGATCATAAAAAAAAATTGGTGTGGTGGATTGGTTAAGGGCGGATACTAGAAACCCAAGGATGGTACTAGAGTTAGACTAGCTCTAATACCAAATGATGTTGGAAGAGAAAACCCAAACCACAAAAGAAATACAAACATTATTATTGAATTTAAAATCAGTTATAATGACTCTTCAAAACATGAAATAAACATAAAGACACAATAAAAACACAAGTCGATACCTCGAAAGTGTATCCCAAGGCTGGTGGAGGTTGGCCAGTGGATCTGGAGGCTTGGGGATAGCAAGTGTGAATGCGAGAGATGTATCGGCAGGAGTTGGAAGGTGAACTGAAGGAGGAAGCAGCAGATTAAAGTGGCGAGAAGGTTTGTTCGACAGCTGGGAGGTAAGTTAGAAGATGGGGTAGCAAGCTGGGAAGGTGGGGCAGCAACAGGGAAGGCTCCTCAACACTTTCAGAGGGTGAACAACAATCGGGGAAGCGCTGGCAGCGATGGGAAAGGCCTGGACAACAAAGTAAACTGCTAGAAGTGGGTCGGCAGAGTGCTGGGAGGAATTCTAGGTAGGTAGACAGCAGGTATGGCTTGTTTTGGAAGGGCGACTGAGTGTTGGGATGGAGAATGGGGAGTTGCGGCCTTGTTTGGAGAAAGCTGGCATCAGGTTGGAGGGAGGATAGAAGCCCGTGGTTGTTGGGAAAGAGGTGTGGTGGACTGGTGTAAGGTTGGGAAACAGGTGGACAACAACAGGAAAGGTGGAAGAATAGATAAATATCTAATCATGGGGTCGAGCTATAGTCGGAGCACCACCCGAACCCGTGGAGATGATCACCACCTCAGACGAGAGACAGTCGGAGCACTACCTCAACGTCGGATACAACCCTCGAAGGGGAAAATTCTAAGGCTAAAACCTAATTTCATATATCAAAAACAGGACCCCTAACTCTAAGCATATCACCTCCTACTTATAAAGAGGCTTGACCTATTTTAGGAAGGATTTCAAATTTTGGAAAAACTTTCAAAATAAGAAAGGAGAATAAAAAGGATTTTAGATTTTTGGAAAGGCTTTTAAAATAAGCAATAAGATTAAAAAGAGATTTCAGATTTTATGAAATGCTTAAAATAAGCAAAAAGAATAAAAAGGTATTTCAAATTTCAGGAACGAGTTTTAAATAAGGAAGGAGAATCAACTTAGAAATTCAAGTGTTGGGAAAGGATTTAAAATAGAAAAATGCTTAGGAAGAAAAGTTGAGGGGGAGAGAAAGAAAAGGTGAGAGAAAAAGAAAGGGCAAGGAAGAAAAGGAAAGGAAGTAATAAGGAGAGGAGGGAAAGGAAGAAGGGAGCCCCGTGTCATGCATATTTTCATGAAAGATAAACCTTGATCCCACTTTCTATAAATTTTTCGAACACAAACTGACAATGCGTCAACTTATGTTAGAGTCACCCAATTGAAATTAACAAACTTTAGTGCAACTCTAGAGAAGTTCATGGTTTAAAGTACAATGCATCTATGTCTCAAATCAATTGGATTTGAACTCATAAAAGGAGCCCAGCTCAATAGACGAACAAGAATAATCTCAGATGAATATGGCTACGACTACCACCATAAAGCTACAGAAGCATTTTGTATTTTACGATACTTTAAGTAAAAGAGTAAGATTGAGGAGTAATAAAATGAATTAAAATAGGAGAAGGCCAACTTATTATATTATCGTGATAGCCCTCAGAAGCATTTTGTATTTTACGATACTTAAGTAAAAGATTAAGATTGAGGAGTAATAAAATGAATTAAAATATGAGAAGGCCAACTTATTATATTATCGTGATAGCCCTTTTTTTAATTTTTTTCTATTTAATGGCCTATTTAATATTATTGTTCCATTATTCGTGATGTCCATGTTTCCTCACACATAATCCTAATGATCAAACATGCAAGAAAGAATAATCCAGATCAACAATCATATGATAACATGAACACAAAATATTATGGACATCCAAAAGTCTGATTTTTCTTCATGCCTTGTCACGAGAGGAAAACAAAAATATCGTGATAGCTGGTAAAAAAGCGAGTAATTTAAAAGTGAATTTATGTTTGGAAAACAATGGTCTTAAAGATTTCATAATCAAACTTTTGGTTAGGAAGCCGTTCAAAATCATTGGATTTAATTTGAGATAATAGCAATACATGTAGAATTTATATTGCACTCTTCACTAAACTAATTAATTAAGCTTGAATCCTATCTTAGGTAAAATATGGTCAAGATGTCCTAACCCAAAATTTTTCATTATGTTTTCATTAATTATAATAGGAGAAAATTATGAGAACATTCCTAACAGTACAGGCACACGAACTCTATACTATTCTACTCAACTCAGTACACACCGAATAGAAGAAAACTGCATGAAACTGTCATTCTGAATAGGTTAAATGAATCACAAGCTTCTGCACGACTTTCACCTTGAGCAAAAATGAAGATAGCTACAAAACTTATTTACTTTAGAGCATCTCTTGCAGTACATCATCCCTTTTTGAAGATTTTTTTCTTTGCAGAAGTATAGTTAATTTTTTTTTCTTCAAATAAAATTAGAGTATATAGTGAGGTAAGAGATTCACTGTTTCACAGAAAGGACGCATTTATAACTTGGTACTATAACGATATGATTTTTCTTGTCTCTATCTACAATGAGCTTGGCTCCCCACTTAGAAAGATAACAGCATGTCTGATTAAATCTCCAAAAGCTAATTTAAATGATTCGCAACTCTAACAACTATCTCATATAAATGTAGAACATATATCCATTTCAGTTCATTGAGTTTACCTAGTTTGGCCCTTTTAGCGCAGTTTTTTCATAAATAGTTAACTCTTAAATGAACAATTAGAAATTAATGTGATTTAAAATAGCTTTTAGAAAGTTCAAGCCCAGGTTAGAAAACTAACTCAACCAGATTAATGTTATTAAAGGTGTTTTAGCACTCTCCTAGCACTTCAGATGAGGCCATCACACTTTACAAACCTCTCAGACAGATGTCATTGGTGAGACATGTTTAGAAGAGCATCCTACTTTAACGCTTCAAGCAATAAGACATGCATCCTGCCTGGATTTCAGTGATGGATACAAATAGTTCAAATGCTAAAAATGAGTAAACATTCCATAACGATAATTTGTAATGAAAGAGCATCAAATATCCAACAAAAAACTATGCTCCTTTGGAAACTAGATCAAATAAAGGTGCAAGAATTTAGGTCCTAAAGAAATAATACTGAGCGTGAAACAGATAAGAATCTCCCCAAAAAAAAAGATGTTAACATCCACATTCCATCATAGAGAAGCAAACATGAATGCCAGGAAGATGGAATAAATAGAAATAAAAATTAGATTTTCCTGAGATCTACCTATCACAAACTTAAGTAGTTCTACTCATACTTGATTAACACGATCTGTTTTATCCAATGATAATTTAAAACATCAAAATTTGAAACCCCATAATAAAACGAAGAGCAAATATGGTATTCTGAAAAGATTAAAATTCGTATTGCAAAGATGAGCTTGCACTGATCAACTTAACAAAGTTTTAATCACACACACACACACCATTCACTAAGCAAGTTAATAGACCATTCACTAAGCAAGTTAATAGAAAAAACAAATAAATAAATCACACAAAAGAAGATTCAAGCCTCGCATTGATAAAATAGACTTTTCTTCAAAAATGGTCGTCATAGGCTATCAAAATCTATCCCTTTGATAATCTATAAGCTGACCCTAACATTGAGCGCCACCTCAAATCATTTTGATAGTATGATTTCAAGGGGAAGGAAGTGATTTATTTTCCGAGATTTTAGTTGCTGGTGAGGTAGAACATTAATATGCAGAATATACAAAAATCTAGATAAAGCCACATGCAGGTATTTAGGGAATTATAGCTGAATTCATTTACAATCTCTCACCTAAACTAAATTCTTTAATGAAATAAAAAATACTAATAAAATAGTCTCAAGATAAATGATGTTTAGTTACAAGACTCATAAACCTATCATAGTATGCATAGACACATTATAGTCCTTCTGTTTACAAAGCTAAAATAGTCCGCATCATTGATCCCTAAATTCACAAAATGATAAAATTGCAAAGATTTTCTTGTTAAATTTATGTCTTAGATTTAGCACATATAGGTTTAGTTTCACTGGCAATATCTTGTCAAAATGATAAGGCACGGCTCTGAATTTTGATTTAGCAAGCTTAAATCATTCAAAAATTAAAGAATTAGTAACCTTGAAAAAAAATATAAATAATTCAATCCAAGTAGAAAATTCGACAAGATTATGTCTCTCATTAAAAGTAAAAAAATACATATCTTAATAAAAACCTCGTTATAGTTATATCATGTTCATCTAGAACCATAACTTACCCAATTTTGTTTCAGTTGCATCATTTATTATTTTAATTGACCCAAATATTATGTTCTACTTTTAATCAACATGATGACGCAATCATAATTGACATGCAGCACCTTATGCCTAGGCTTTATTGATGCAAACCTGTAATGAGATCACAAACAAACAAATCAAAAGAAGCAATTCATAGGATAATTTAAGAAATAATTAATCAATTTCGCAAAATAAAAATCATAATTCATTCATTCCAAATGATAAATTAAATAATCGCCAAACTATAAAAGTTCACAAGAAAATTGAAAGCAAATACAAAATTTACAATGATTGAAATTTGCACAGAAAAATTAACACATATCAAACTATAAGAAAATTTCATCACCAACAAAACAAAAATTACTAGAAGTTAATAACTATAACAAAGATATAAATCAAATAAAATAATGTTCATACCTTCTGCCAACATAAGAAGGCCTATCCCACAAGTAGTATTTAAGACGAGCAAAGTGCTCAAAAATATGTCCAACAACACACAAATAAATTGAGAAAATTAAATTTTTGTATTAATACTCAATGTTCAATAATTTTACATGCTAATAGATTCCTATATATAGCCCAAGAAGAAGGCGAAGTAAGAAATTCCTCATAATTTTCAGTGATTCAATTAAAAATAGCAAGTTCCACTGGGCACCCAAATATAAAAAATCAATTTATGTTTTTTAATTTTTAGACTTCTATACCCATAGAAAAATCAATATGTGGCAACAAATGGTTCCCAATTACTATGGTAAATAGAGGCACCAAATGATAGTTATAAGACTTCAGTAATCAATACTCTCGATATTGTAGTAATTAGTGAAATTTTAAATATTTGAGGCTATGAAGCATGAATGCTTCAGAATTTCTTTCCTCCTCACAACAAATATGGACATACCTTCTACAAGTCTAACAAATATAAAGACATGTCTAAATTTCTTTTTTTTTTCCTGATATTAGAATTGAAGGTGACCAAACAAACCCAGGAATATGGCATGTGCAACATGCGACAAGCAAGTTCCTGTTGGTTCAATCACTGTCATTCCAATTTGTTATATCAACTTAAACCTTTGATTTTGACCATCATCCTATTCATTTTCTATTAATTATTCTCAACTCTTTGTAATAAGCCTTTTTTAGCCCTTGCTCACCTGCCACCCCGCCTCTAATTCATCTTGCTTTTGATCTTCAACTTGTTTATCCATCTAGCTATGATTCCATCACTACCAAGCTTGCTCCGCTATCCCATCACTCTCAAACTTTGTTGTGTTACCTTTAAAGTCTTTTTCTTCAACTCAACGACTTTTTCTACCCCTTTCTATACTCATATACGGCCTTAGTCTTTGTCTTCCAAAAAACAATATTAAAACTATGATATATTTCTATGTTTTTTTTGCTCTTCTCAAATTCTCTGTAAATTATATATTCTTTTATTTTCATACTTTTTAATAATCAAAGTTTAGACTCTTTTCAATAATACAAAATATTGACATCAGGTATTTTAACAACATATTTTTTCATTAATAATTATTAGATTTTTTATATTAACAAAGTGCCATGCCTATTTTTTATAACTATGACATGTACTTACTTATATCCATGTTGTGTCATATTCGTGCTTCATAAGTTTTGGAACTTTAACAAATAGCAACTTCAAATGCCTGGGACTATAGCATTTAGTGACTCCTTTAGGCAAGCAAATCTTGTAGAATAATGAAAGAAGAGTTCACGCCACCTTAGCTCTCAAAGGCAAGCTCTATAACCCAATTTATTATACTAATATGCATAATATAATTCAACATTAACTTGAACTTTGTTCTGCTCACAAGTTTGAAGTAACCCACATTAACATTGCAAAGTTGAAAAAAATTATGTAATTATTGCAACCTACCTATAATAGCATAGTCCTACCCAATTAGTTCATAATAAAGTAACCTCTGTTAGTAGACACTGAGGTTATGTTCGATAATATTATGTGGTTGTTGTATTTTGCTATATAAATAAGTGGTCAATACTCATCTAAATGAGTTACTAGAACAATTGTATCTAAACCCGACCTTTATTACACAAATTGTAGACACCATGGGAGAAGTCTATTTGCCAATGAAGTTTTCAATTAAAGTCCTCAAAGTAAATTGCCAGCTTAAAATTAAGTTCATTAAAAGTTATATATGTGATTAGACAACTACAAACTAGCTATCTTTATTCATTTCAAAACATGCAATGTTCATCCTAGCTGTGTAATTTTACTTGCATGTAATCATTTACAAAAAAAGCGTTGAACTTCGACCTAAAAAAAACAAGGAGGCAAACATTATGACTTAAAATGGATAAAAATGGAGTTTAACTTGCCTTGATGGTGACATCAAAGAAAATAAGGTGCAGCAGCCCCTTGACCTCACTAACAGTTTCGAGCGGGATCGATCCTCTAACGAGATCCTCAATCAAGTAGAACACATCATGAATCACCTGAATACCGTCGATCCGTAGCTCAGCGTCAACGTAAGAAACCCCTCGCGCCCGTATTTTACCGCCGGCAGCCAGAACGGACCCGAGATGCTCGCTGCGGTATCCGATGGCGACAGCTACATAGTCGTAGTGAAGAGAGAAGAAGTTAGGGTTGCGAACGCGAATTCGGAGGCGGAGATCAATCGAAATGGTGTCGTTGGGGTCAGTGAAGACGCGGACGTGGTCGAGGCGGATGCGAGCAACATGGAGGTCAAGGTCAGTAGGCCAGATGAGGAAGAGGGTGAGGCCGAAGAGGGCTAAGATGGCGGCGGATATGAGGAGGTAGGAGCTATAATTGCAGCACTGAGGTCGGCGGCGAATGTGGCTGCCGGGGAAGACGGGGAGGAGGGTATAGGGAACGGGGTGGGGGTCCTGTGGTGGTGGATGAGTTGAAGAGAGGAATCCTGGCGCTGGATCTGGCTGAAGAAAAGGATCTGATGCTTCTGGTCCCAGCTTCGCCATTGATGCGGCATAGCCCCACTGAAATCAGCTCCGGAGAAAGATGCTCTTGCCCTTTATAGTCTTAAAATTTTTAAATTATCATCGAGTATTAAAGTTCTCAATAAATTTTCATCTAATATTATTTACTTTTATAAATCTCTTTAGGATTTAAGATTTTTATAGTTTTAGACTAAAGAATAATACCTGACAATTTAATTAATAAAGATAAATTTGATGTAATGTATTTATTTAAATATCTCAAAAAATAACTCTACAAGTAAAATCCAATCTTTTTAAAAAAAAGTAGGTTCCTAATTGGTCTTTTGGTCCCGTCGGCCGAAAAAAATTTACATGTGTTATACCCCTATAACCTACTTATACCTTCTAATAAGTTTCGCGCTTCTGTTTCAATATATTTGTAGGTTAAAGTGGGTTATAAAGAGATTACCAGGGGTATAACGCAGATATAACCCTCTAATACATTCCTTGTAACATATTTGTAAGTTACTGACGTCCGCAGCGTTGCGTACATCTTACGTACGTAAAATTTTTCTCTGTCGGTGGGCTCTTATGTTTGGCATCTCTTAATTTATCATAAAAATAATAATGGCATAAACTTATAAGTTATTAGGTGTAATAAAAAATAGGATTAGAAATATTTCCAGATTTTTATTTTCTCTCATATTTTATTTAATAATAAGAGTTCAGAGAGAAAATATAGAAAAACCAAATATTATTAGAATTAATTTATTTTGTCATACAAATGCAATGTTATTTAGAGATCGGCTGTAGCTCTTAAAGGCCCGTTTACTGTTTTCCTTTTCGTCTCCGTATTAAAAACATACTTAATTACTATAATTTGTATATATTATTTTTATATTTTAAAATATATAAATTTAATTTAAAAATAATTATCACAAGCAAATATATTTTATTCAAATAAAATAAAAATAATAAATGAAGAATAAAATACAAAAATCATCCCAAATGCCTCCTAAGAGAATAATGACTATTTTTAAAAAAGTATAATTAAATATAAATACTTTGATAGTTTGATGCAAACTAGAATGACACGATGCATTAAAATAATTATTAGTGTGGTTTATTTTCAAATGACTGCGTTACGTGTTGAAATAAATTAGAATGACGCGATGCATTAAAATAATCATTAGTGTGGTCTAAGAGTATAAATTATTTTCAAATGACTGCGTTACGTGTTGAAATAAATGATTTAAACATATGCAATAAAATATAACCAGTGAAATTGTGGAGGAAGCAGTTTCACAATTGTTGTAAGGAAACTTCTGCGAGGACGACAATCAGTCTGTCTGAATGATATGTTGTGCTGCTGCAGTTGTTTCTCATGCAAAGACAATTATAGCTTCTATAGATAAAGATTAGATGGATGACTGTACTTTTAAAAATACTATGACGGAACAACAAAAAGAGGGCTTCAATAATACATAAAACATGTCAGAAGCCCAAATTTCTTCAATACATCGATCATATTCTCTATAGTGAGATATACAGTATCATTTAGTCCTCTTATTTATTTTGGCATAGAAAATCATCAAAATACACGTACTTTTAAATATAAAAGAACAGATATAAATTAGATGTATTTACAAGCATACTACCAAATTCTTTTGTATTTACATATTTGACTCTTAAACTTGACTGTTTCAATGTTGTACCCCTCAAATCTTTCGCATCACATAAAAAATACTACTGTTTTAACTTAAAAAAAGAATGAAATACATATTTGCTAAGCGTTGGAGCCTGATTCCTATCTCGCTCCCGCCTGTTGGGCTCGATTGCGAAACATCGCGATTGCTCCTGCTCTACTGTCGCGATACCTGTTCCCGCGGCTCCCTGGTCTTGATTCGCAAAGAGTCGCACCTCTCTGTTGTCGTGAATCGTTCCCGCCTCCCGTCTCCTTTAAGTTGCGAATAGAATAGAAGAAAGTTTTGAAGTTATGGTTGGTGTTCTTCTTCGGGCTTCCTCAGGATAGAAGGAAGAGAAGTGCAAGAAGTAGTTCCTTGCGATAGAAGGAAGAAAAAAGAAGAATAAGAAGATTGTTCTCCCTTGGCTTTTTCTTGGTAGCTTGTGGCAGAAGAAAAATTGAGTTTATTTCTTTTGTAAGTTTGGCTTCTTCGCTGCATCTCGGTGTACAGTTTCTTCGGTGTATCTCGATGTAGAGAGAGAGTAAAAGAGAGAGAATAAGAGAGAGGAACGAAGTGAGAGTGAGAGATTCCTCAAGAAGTAAAATCTTCTGCAACTCCGTGAACGTAGGAAATTTGCCGAAACCACAAATCTGTGTGTTCCGCTGTGTTACTTTTTTCTGGTGTGAATTTTCTCGTTCTATTTTTCGCTTCGTCATCGATTATATATACCACAACAAATAACCGCTTACTGATGAATAAAATTTTGATCCACTTGAAAGAAAATAATTGCAAATGTAGAATGACATATACATGTAAAACTGAAGTTTAATTAGGTGTTAGATATTTGCATAGGAATTAAAGTGGTAGGTTTGTAAATCTATAAATAATACTTAAAATTGCGCTAAATTATTCGATTCACAATGGCTTATTGCATTGCATCGCAATACGACTAAAGTAAAGTGGCGATGCTTCATTATGGCTTTAGGGCTTATGGAAAAGAAAAGGAATCAAATAACATAAAGGCAGCCAAGGAATGTGATTTTGGGTATATTCCGCTTTCAACTTGAATGGTTGCCAAGGCATAGTAGGTGAAGATGAATTTTATTAATGGGACTTTTTCATACATACTCCCCCATTTTTTATGTATTTATATATCTAACACCAAAAGTTTGATATTTACGATCATAACACCTTGGTGCTATAAAGCAATGCCTAAAAATATGTTTTAAATTTTAAGAAGTTATTGTGATATTTTCTTATGAGATATTAAAATTTAAGTGTGATGCATGCAAATATGAAAAAGTTTAATTATAAAGCAATGCCTAAAAATATGTTTTTAATTTTAAGAAGTTAGTTGTGATATTTTCTTATGAGATATTAAATTTTAAGTGTGATGCATGCAAATATGAAAAAGTTTAATACATATAAGGCCCCGTATTATTCATGAGGTGAAGAAAGAAAATGAATTTGTTCGATCTCAAGGCCTTGGTTTTCCATACATCTAATGATGCTCATTCGATAGAATTAAGTAAGGCCCCGTATTGTTCATGAGGTGAAGAAAGAAAATGAATGTGTTCGATCTCAGGGCCTTGGTTCTCCATACATCTAATGATGCTCATTCGATAGAATTAAGGAGATGATATAATCTCTGAACAGGGGTAAGAGAGAGAAAAAGGGACCGTCATAATGTTCTCATTAGAGTTCTTTTTTTTAATCCTTCCACGCACAAGAAAAAGTGAAATTAAAATATAATTTCTACAATATGAGGGTTGTCAATGTGTTCTCAATGAAAAAGTTATGACGTGAGTGTCATGCGTCTCAGACTCTCATATATGATCATGCAGCTTATGTCAATCCTTTTAACGTTGATTCTTATTTCAACTATTTGTCATGTTGGCGATCATTTTTATTCGATGCATTTTAATATGGAGATCATTTTAATGCGATGCATTTCAATAATTAAAAATTTACATACATCACACAATTCTTTTGTATTGAGATATCAAACACTCAAAAATTGATATTTATATTTATAACATTGTAGTGTGATAAATATATGCCTAAAAGGAGTCTTTTATTTCTTAAAAGATAATAATGATTGTGCTTTTATGTGATGTTAATAATTATAGTTATATATATTAAATTATGAAATATTATATACTTGATATGCAAATGCATAAGAATTGTTTGCTTTATGATAATTTTATAAATGTAAATGTTTGGATCTGCATGCAGTCGATTATGCTGTAGATTCGGAAGAAGGCAAATTAACACATTGGTGCCCACTCGCTATAAAGGTCTGTCCTCCATTCCTCTCCAATCTATCTCTGTTCCGGTATTAGCAGCCCAGTTCCCACACTCGTTCTTTGCGCTTGCTTCGTCTAGCAGCGAAGCGATCGACGGAGTAAAGATGCAGATATTCGTCAAGACTCTTACGGGGAAAACCATAACCCTGGAGGTCGAGAGCAGCGATACCATCGACAACGTCAAAGCCAAGATACAGGTCTGTCCTTCATTTCATTTCCCTGAGCGGTTGATCTAGGGTTTGATAAACAGGCAGTAGCGCGACAGATGCTTGTTTTGGTATCCCTCGTAGATCTGGAGGTGCTTGTTGTCTCCTTTTCATGCAGCTTAGGTGGCTGGATACTGTTTTCCGATCATTGTTGCAGCTTTTCTTTCTTTTGCACATGGCCTGTTTAAAGTTGTTTTACCTCACTTTCAGGGGTTAGCAGGGTCTGCCTTCGTCATCTGGCGAATTTTAGGTTTAACTGTCTTGGTGATACAAATTGAACAGGGTTGCATAACCAGCGCTTGCTCAAGCGTTTTGACATCACAATAGAATTTTATTTAAATTTTGGGCATTTAAAAGCAGTTTAGTTTAGGATTGGAGATTTAAGATATATGTGGGAGAGATTGGATGCAAAGCACACGAGGGATTTTTTCATACTTATTTTTTTGGTTATTTTGGAGATACATCTCATCCAATTTATGAAGTTCTTTAGTGGAACTGAGTATTTCCCACAGACATAATGCGAAGGTAGTTATTATACAATAACCCTGCACAGGCAACAATTGTAATTCGAGAATATATTGTTGTTAGATTGAAAGGGAAAACATATGATCCTTTTCTATTGCAACAAGGTTTTGTTTGTTTCTAATATTTTCGAGCTACTTCATACCCCAATAATAGATAAGGTACTTACGATGATCTTTTATAGTTAGGGCTGCGTGGTCAAATTTGATTTGTATTAGTAGTACAGATTACGATCCCATAAGAAAATATTCGAGAGAGTCAAAAGAAAATTTAAATAATAGTGTCATACTAAATGTGTTTTATGGATGTTGGGTATTTAAATAAGTCATTGATATCCATGTTGAGTATGATAGAATGAGAACCTTAAGATGTAATTGTGATAAGGTTGCATGATAGAGAATGTAAGATTAGCAAACATTAAAGATAGGATGGTGTCAAAAAGTTTTGAGGCTTGGGCATTTTCAAGGCAGGTTGGATGATGTATCAGTGCTTTTGTTGTTTGCATTAATATGGATTGTTATGAAGGAAAAGTGTTGGAGTAAAGATAGCATGATTGGAAGTTGTGTAAATATTTGCATCAATAAATTTAACTTCTCGAGTATTCCTCAATATCTATGAATGAAGAATGAGGATTCACATACAAACCCTAAATAGTTGGAACAAGGTTAATGATGATGATACGTCTTTGTTCTTTAATATATCTGATGTTTGTAAATTTGAAACAAATTTCCACAAGTTGTTGTTGTTGCTGGTTAATAATATTGCGGGGGCGGGGATGAATTAAATGAAGAGGAGATTGAACATGGAAAAAGGAAGAAGTGGCGAAGGATAAATAGTAAATGCAATTGTGTATAATGATTTTCTTCATATTTCAAATCCATAATGCCACAAGTTTATGCAGGTTGTTTGGAAATTTATAGTCTAAGCATTTACTAATGAGTTTTCATCATCGAAGTGTAGTTTTTTGAACTTTCTACATCTAGATCTTTCCCAGGAGAACTTCAAACTTTCAGAACAAGTTTCTTTTCTAACACACACCTCCCCTTATTTAAACTTGCTTCTCCATATTTCCTAACTCTAAGTATATTTCTTAGACACTAAAAAACTGCAAGTTTAAGTGATTTTTAAGCATATGAGCAACTCAATCATTTGGCTTTACATGGAGAAGATCAATTTGTTCAATTTTAACATGCTCATTGTTAAAGTGAAAACAAATATCAATATGTTTATTATCAACATGCATCTTTGTTGAGCCCTTCTATTGTATTTTAAGACCTTGAAGTGATCCTCTTTACTGTATAGCATGCCAAACACTAGAAGTTATACCTATACATATTGCTTACAGGTTGATAAAGAAACAATAGATTTTGATTATCATGTATGTGCTGCATCATCAAGTTAGAATACCAATTTGATAGCAACGATTATCATTGCTTATTTTCTAATGACTATAATTGAGTCCGACAAGTTCCATCTTTTTTGTTTGTGAATAAATAAAATCATAATTCATGGTCCCCTTTTTGTATTTGAGAATCCTTTTAGCTAATTTAGGACGAGAATTGTTGTGGGTTTTCATATATCTTTGTTAACCAATATAACGACAAACACATGTTATGTACATGTCAATCAAGTATCTTGGACATCCTACTGAAATAATTCGAATTTTTTAGCTTTCCTCTTTCACTCTTAGTTATTTCAATGCTATAATATTTAAGTATCAATAAGTAAATAATGTTCCAATGAAAACTATCTTACAATTCTCCCTATAAAGCCTTCATGTTGCTTTATTTCAATATCCAAAAATGACCCATTAGTCCAAGTCAGTCATATCATGTTCATCATTCATCAATCATTTGAATTCTTTAATTATCATAGGATTTTTTACTGTGAAATTTAAAGTGTCCATGTATAGACATACAAACAAAATATCTCCCTTTGAATTGGTCTTCAGGTATAAGGAATGCTTGTGAGGGCATCTTGTGAAACCTGTTGAGCAAAGTACTCTTTAATTATGGAATTACAATTTCTTGGCGTTGTGAGCTTGCAGCGAGTCTTTTTTTTAAGTTTTTAGAGCTTTTTTTGGTCCTCAAATAATTCCCCGGCTGTTGTTTCTAGTAGATTCCATGAGATTATTGTTTTAAATGGTACTTTTTTTTGTCAAATTGAAATATCTTTGACATAATATTTTCTTAGAAGATAAGTATCATTGTTACTTCAAGCTAAGCAATGTTTGCAAAGGCTTCTTTATAGTATATATTGGATTTTTCCTTGTATTCATTGATTTTTTCCCTGTATTCATTTACTACCGATGATGGGGATTAAGGGTGTAATTGAGCCAGGTTGGCTTAAACTGGCCAAATTAATGTGAGTCCAACTTTTCAAGTTGTGAGCTAAAGTTCAAGCCAAATTCGAGGCTCATATATCATACAAGCTCGACCTTGAGCTTGCTAGTTTAACTCGTTGGCTTGACTATATTTATTTAACTTAAAAACTTCTTTTTTTTTGCTTTTGTCATCTATATGTTCTGAGTTGCCTCATGTCTATCGAATGCCCCGTCTTCATTCTTTCTATTGCTGACCTTTGTAACTTCCTCTTGAGCTTCTTCGACGAGCTTAAAACATTGTTTTGGCATGCTCCCACGTTGTCCACTAATCTCATCGATGACTTCTCTAGCAAGCTCCTATTCTTCCTTTTGTTTATGTTCTTAACCTCTTCTTCTTCTTCTTATTCTTTTTGAAAAAAAAAGTATATTTCACAAATCACAACTCATGAACCCTCTTCTTTTTCGGTTTTTGCTCCTAGTCTCTGTGACTTCCTCTCAAGTGGAGCTCGTCCTCGGGAATAAATGGGTGAACTATGTTTGAGCTTGAGTTCGAGCCGAGTTTTGGACTGACCAGACGAGCTCTAGTTTTTTTGACTCAAGCTTAACTTGATTTGCTTACACCTATAATGGAAATGTTTCTAACAGGTTTCAAGGGTTTTATGAGTGATGGCGGATAGTTAGAGATTGGTAGAGGGTTAATGATGAGGTTGACTAGTTTAGGATTTCTGAATAGCTTTTTGGTTAAAAATTTTTGTGATTATAAAGCTAAATTTTCTTTCACAGAAAAGGGTGATGACTATCAGGTCAAATCATTGGAATGCTAGCTAATTAATGTTGCTTTTAGGGTAATTGGATATGTAACTAGGAAGTTCTGAATTTTTTTTTTTTTGGATGGATCACAACAGGTATATAACATGAGTTAAGCTTTAGTGGAAGGAATGTGACCTAGTTTTCGTGAGAGAGGATATTTTTGAGGCCTTAGGAATGTCCTGGGGATGTAGGACATAGGAAGTAGAAAAACAAGGAGATTTTAGCAAACCTTAATTATGGTTGATTTGTAAACAAATCCAAAAGCTAGCAACATCAACTCCTCATAGATACATGGTTTTTCAAGACATTAAAGTTATTTTTGATTGAATCAGTGAGGATATGTATAACACAAACGGGGTTATAGATAAGTAGAGAAGCTTATTAGGAAATACACCAAATTTGTCTTTGAGAATTTATTCAAAGTTGATAATGGCAGCCTCTACATAAAATCTCTTATTTTTAGTTTGGTTGATTTTTATGGTTTGAAAATAAGTTTTTCTATTTAAATGATTATTTCCGAATAATATATGTTAGCCCTTTTCTAAAATAAAAAATAAAATAAAAGTATAATTAGTTATTAGTGAGAGGCCTTATTGCTTTTACTGTATCGACCTGCCTCATCTTGTTCTCTCTCCTCTTCTTTTACATTTTATTTGGTCTTGTACTGACTCCAATTAACTCCTCACCCTTTTGCAAGAGAAGTAAACTGTTATGTATTATTTTTCTTTATATTATTTTCCCTTCTTTATCACATTTCTTTCTTCTATTTTGTTTGTGCCTCCTTTTTGTGAGTAGATCACAACGTACAAAAAGATGCAATTGCTTAATTCTGTTTCTGTCAATTGTCTGGATAGAATAATGAATGGGTCTTAGATAGTGAATACATAAGATATTAATTTTCCTATGAATCATAATATCAACTAATTCCATTAATTTATCATTGAGAGTGCCTATATTCCAAGATCCTATCCTAATATTAGTTTCATTAGTTTTATGGACTAACTTCTTTACCCGCATTCGCCCGTAATGTGGGAACCCTTGCTTATTTAACACTACACCCGGGCGCCGGTGTAGCGGCCCTTGCACACTTTTCACTGTATTCAGGCTATACAGCGCGTCGCTTACAGGGGACGCCCTAGCACTTACACAATGATCAAAAGGATTCATGTCATGATTTTTTCGACAAGTTTTACGCTGACTGTCGAACTACCTAACACAACCCTCCACTTTTCTCATCCGGGCTTGGGACCGGCAACGGCAGTGTTAATGTATAATTCTTTTTTATGGCATGTAAATTATTTTTTGTATAATTTTTTTGGGATGACATTCATATTAT